TCTGTCTTGGAGGAAGTATAACCAGAGTGCTCCTCAGAAGCAAGGGTGGTGGGACTTTGCTTTACACATTTTGAGTATGTTGCCAAGAAGGGCCAGTCTTTGGAAAAAGACATCATGTTGTAAAAAGGTTAGGAAAAGAAAGGGTGATGCTCAATGAGATTTATTGACACAGTGACTGCAAAAAAATGTACTCAAGCATAGCATTAAGCATGAATTAAGGGTATTGCAAGGCTAGCACAGGATAGGGTAGGGTTCTGATCTGTTGTTCATAGGGTCACTATGAGTTGTAGTTAAGTTTCTGACATCTAACAACCACAACATGAAAAATGACACTTTGCAGATGCAATAAAAACATTGAGACAGGGAGATTATTTTAGATTATCCACTTGGGCTCAATACAATGAAAACAGTCCTTAGTAGAGGGATGTAGGAAGGATGAGATAAAGAGAAGTGATGATAGAAGAAAGAGTTCTGGTTAGAGCGATAACAGGAAGAGATCCTGAGCCAAGGAATTCAGATAGCCTCTGGAACCAGGCATTTCAAGGGGAAGAGTCCTTCCCTACAGCCCTCAGAAGAAACCAACCCATTAACACCTTGATTTTAGCCAAATGAGTTCTCTCTCAGATGTACAGCCTTCAAAGCTATGACAAAACACATCTGGGTTATTTTTAAGCCATTGAAGTTGTGGTAAATTTTTATAGAAGCACTGAAAAACTAATAGAGAATCCATTTTGGATCTGGATGTGGTGGTGGTGCAGCACCTCTTTCTTCAGAAGTGACTTTGAAATCATATACCTGTTGGATGTCGAGGTGTTATTTGACATGGAATCTCTTTCATTAGATCCACTGACAATTATTGAGATTCTACCAATCAGAGTTAGAAGAATTGGAAATACAGGGCAGATGAAGAAATGTCTGTTCTCCTGGGGCTTATTGGCTGGTAGGGGAAGATGATACAACAGTGTGGAGTTTTATCTTTCAAAATGACTTTACCAGCCATTAACTGTGACTTTGCTACAGGGATGGTTAAGAATATGCAAATCGGGCATGTTTGCCTATCCACAATGGATTGGCTAGTCTCACCAACCCACAAATGGATTGGCTGGCCTTGCTATTAAATTGAGTGGGTCCAAGAGCAGAAAGGAGAAACCTACCTGGCAGGAAAAGAGCAAGCAAGAGGATCTATAGGGCCAAGAGCCATAGCAGCTACAGAAGAGAAAGATACCTGACATGAGACAAAGAACCAGAGACATGATGTGAGATAGGACCTTGGGACTGGCTACACCATTGTAACTGGAGCTAAGAGCCTTTGCCCAAGTTGGTTAGACAACTAGAAGTTAGGTGAGCAGCACTGAGAGAGCTTTGTAACACTGGTCTAAAGCTGCAAAGGCTCAAGAGTGAAGTGCCTATGAGCATATTTCAGATGCCATCTGATTATATTCTTCTACTAACTTGAATTATTGAACATACCATGACCACCAAAAGAACAAACACCTCTGTCTTGGAAAGGGTGAAACCAAGTTTCTCCTTGGAGGCTAGGATTCTGAAGCTTCATCTCACATACTTTGGGCATGTGGCAGGGAGGGGCTTCTCCTTGCAGAAAGACATCATGCTCAAACGGATGGAAGGACAGTGCAAGAGAAGAAGACCCCAGATGAGACGGATTGACACAGTAACTAGGAGTAATGAGGGTAGGTGTTTGAGAGTCAGTGAAATTAGCTCAGGATAGGGCAGGCTTCAAAGCTGTTGTACATAGGGTTGCTATGAATCACAGCCGACTTGATGGCACATGACAACAACAACCTAGACTATAACCTTTTGACTTCTCTAATATGGTTCTATGTGGTCTGTGAGCAGTGGGTTTTGGACCCAGTAAAGCACTACAATTGGTGTTGGGTCAAAAGAGGTACAGGAGCATGGGGGACGTGTCTGAACTCATGGGAACTGATTTTGTGTTATTAATGTTGTTGACAGGGACAGTTCTCCTTGTGAAGTTGGTAAAGGTCAGATATGGCCATCCCTATGTAGCCCTTGCTCATTATACAAGCAGTGTCTGATAGAGTAAGAAGATAATTTGAAAGAATGTGATTCAGAAAGGCTTTGTTGAGCTGGTGACCTGTGAACTGAGTTCTGAATGATTAGAAAGAAACAGCGACATGGAGACCTATAAGTATACCTGTGTATTTAGACAGAGGAAACTGTGATGGAAGGGGGCAGGGCTTGACTTGTTCAAAGAACAAAGTATCTGGAGCCTAGAAAGAGAGAGAAGAGAAAGAGCCGAGAGAGAGAGCGAGAGAGAGAGAGCGAGAGAGAGAGAGAGAGAGAGAGAGAGAGAGAGAAGGAAAATATTTGTTAGACCTTGGAGACATAGTAAGGAGACTAGATTTTATTCAAAAGCCAAGGGTTGCTATTTAAGGGTTAAATCAAGATTGTGTTAGGGAGCTCTGGTGGCTTAGTGGCAAGAAGTTGCACTGCAGTCCTGAAGGCGGGTACAGTTCAAATCCCCCAGATGCTCTGCTGGAGAAGGAGGGGCGATCTCCTCCTGTGCCAGTTGGATCAGATTCAACAGTACACAACATGAAAAAGATAATAAAAACAAAACAAAACCAAGTTTGTGTTGTTAGTTCCTACAGCTATAGCTTAGTGGTTGTTTGTTTGTTTTTTAAAAAAATGATGACTGGAAATCCAAAGTCTCTGTAAATGTTCATTGAAGTTAATAATAAAAAATAAAAATGATTACTCCAACAGCTGTGGGGAATATGGATATCTTTTTGGCAGAGGGTGGGAGAAGGTACAGGATGGTAATAAAAAAAACAGTTAGGAGATCTCTGCAAGCTGAGCACGCTGGGTGGTGATGTTAGGAAAGATGGGAGAAGTGGGAGGAGTCAGGTGGAAGGAAGTGAGTAGAAACATGAGGCTTGGATGTGGTTGTCGTTGCTGTTGTTTTTAGATGTCATCAAGTTGAGTATAACTCATAGCAACCCTGTGAACAACAGATCTGAACCCTGTCCTATCCCATTCCATCCTCACATTCTTTTAACAGACTCAAGCCCATTGCCACAGTCAGTGTCAATCTACCTGGCTGAAGGTCTTCCTCTCTTTTGCCACCTCTCTACCTTGCCAAGCATCATGTCCCTCACCAAGGAATAACCTCGCCTAGCAACATGCCCAAAGTGTGTGGGACAAAGCTTCATCATCTTTGTCTTCGAGGAACAGCCTGGCTGCACCTTGTCCAAGACATATCTGTTTGTTCTTCTGGCAGTCCATGCATCTTCAGAACTCTTCTCCAACACCACAGTTCAAAGGCATCATTTCTTCTTCTATCATCCTTAGGCAACTGTCCAGCTCTCAGATGAACAGCACATGACTGAATTATGTACTGTGAATCACCATGGCCTGAATCAGGCTCCCCTTAGTCCTCAAACTGACATCATTACCCCTCAATAATTTGGAGGGGTTCCTGGCAAGAGACTTTTCCAGTGCAGAAAGTCTCCTGATCTCCTGGCTGCTGCTATCAAGTGTGGTAGCAAGTAATTGTGGATCCAAGTAAGATGAACTTGTTGACAGCCTTAATCTTTTCTCCATCCCTCATGATGCATGATGTTGCCTATTGGTCCAGTGGTGATGTTTCTTTGACATTGAGATGAAATCTGTATTGGAGCAATTCCTTCAGGTCTTCCTCACTTTTAGCAAGCAAGGTTGTGTCATCCACATAACAAAGGTCATTGATGAGTCTTCCTCCAATCCTGATGCTATATTTTTCTTCATAGAGTCCAGCTTCTTGAATAATTTGCTCAACATACAGATTGAATATGTATGGAGAAAGGATACAACCTTGACACACATCTTTCCTAATTTTAAACCATGCTGTGTTCCCTTGCTCAGTTTTACACAGAAGTCTCTTGATATAGGTTTTCTCATGAGCACAATTAAGTGTTCTGGAATCCTCATTCTTCTCAATGCTACCCGAAATTTGTTATGATCCAGAGAGTCAATTGTCTTTGCATAAGCAATAAAGCATAAATAGACATTCTCCGTGTATTCTTTGCTTTCAGCCAGGATATATCTCATATCATCAGTGATACTCCCTGGTACCATGGCCTCTTCTAAACCCAGCTTGAACTTCTGGCAGTTCTCCATCTATATACTGTTCTAGTAATTTTCTAGTGATATTCAGTAGTATTTTGCTTGCATGTGACATGACATTCATGATATTATTGCATCATTTCCACATTCTGTGGATGACTTTGGGATTGCTCCCTGAATGAAGGGGTCACTTACTGAGAAGGATGGGTGGCAAGTATGGGCTTAAGTATCTTTCTTATTGGCCCAAAATACAGCTCAAGCAAACCAATCTCTTGATTCAAAGAGTTTCACCAAATTCTGGGGTTCCTAACCTGGTATGAGTCTGTTATGTAGTAGTTAAATACAAAGTCTGTAGTATGAGACTTCCTGAGATCAAATCTCAATGGCTTTCCAGCTCTGTGATCTGTAGTTACTTCGCCTGTCTGGGCCTCGGTTTCCTCATCTATAAAATCAGGATATTGAAATCTCCCTCCTTGTGATGTTACGAGAACTCTGTAAATACCCAACATCTTGTTAGAGTTGCCATTAAATGTTGCCATTGTGGTTTATCTTGCAGCCTATCTGCTGAAAGATAGGCCTAACAGACCTTCTAAGACAGCACCACACAGCAAAATAAGATATTGTTATAATAATTGTTACCAGTCCATTCAGTGGCCATTCAATTGTTATAATGTGCCTTAGGTAGATTTAGTGTGGAATGCCTAACAACATCAGTGAACTGCCATTACCGTGGTTCTATTATTGTTAGTTATTCTAATTATATTATAAAGGAGTAAAAGAGACCAAAAGATACTTGGGCACTTTTATTATCCAGCTCCACTCATCCCACTACAGTTATATATCATTTTATCATTGGAGATATCCACCTGGAAAGTCCTGGAAGATGGGAACCTTCACTCCTGGCTTTGAAGAAGCTAAAGCTCTTCCTTGATGGTTTGTTTCTTCTCTTGCCGTGGGGGTCCCATTGGCTTAGGAATCTCCACTTCTACCTCTTTCTCCTCCTCCTCCTGCTCCTTCCTTCTCTTCTCCTCCTCCTCCTGCTCCTTCCTTCTCTTCTCCTCCTCCTTCTCCTTTTCCTTCTCCTCTGCTGGTTCCTCCTGCTTAGGTAACTCTTTCTCCTTGAAAGACTCCTCCTCCTTCCCAGGTACCACTTTTTCTTCTATCAATTCACTTTTCTCAACAGACACTATCTATTAAAAAGACACAAAGAAGAAAGAAAATTACAACAAAATGAAGGGGGAAACATATAATTGTGATTGCAATCACCGGACTTCTGAGGAAGTGACGAATGAGGAAGTGACGAGAAAGAATGTCTTTAGCCTCAAGTCTTTACAAAGGCAATTGACTTGGATAAGGAAGTATCTAGTTATGGTTTTTACACTGCGGTTGAAAGTACCTGTGAAGCTCATGCCCAATCCCACTCTAAATTTATTGGCGTAGATGCCTTCTTCCATCTCTAGGGTGGTGCACACACCTCGGACCTGACCTTGCACAGGATATTTGCTGAGATTATGGAGAAGTGATTGCTTTCAATGGTATGATGTTAGATTAAAACTGTGGACTAATATCTGGCCCTTCCAAAGGGGGACGTGTCTGCTTTATCCTGAAGCCAATTTAGAAGGAAACAGAAAAGGAGAATATTTCAGCATTATTGTTGAGCTTCTGAATCCATGCCTGACCCACACAAGAGATAGATCCCTCCTGATGCTTACGTCAGTGAGTAGTATTTCTAACATTTGTAACTGAATGGATCCTGGTTAATACCAATGGTGTCTGCCAGGAGATAGCTACAGGATGAAGATGCAAAGAAGGTAAATTATGATGTGTCAGAAGATAGGATCCTATCAAAGGCATCTGGTTGCCATATAGGTAACTGTAGAAACCAAAGGAACATCCTACAGGACTCTTTCCCCCTTCTTTGTCTTTTCAAAGCCTGCCATTGCTGCTTCCTCATAGAAAGTACCTTTGAAATAAGGCAACTAGGTAGGTCGTCCAAATTCAGTAATTGCCCACACACCCTGAGCTATCTTCAGAGAAGAGGAGAATTGTAACTAGGCAACATTTCTTCTTCAGCCCACTGAGTTCCTGGTGTTCTCCGTGGGACACTATCCTTCAGAGTGTTGCTGTTTCTCCTTACCTTGGCCTCTTCCTCAGTCTTGGTCTCGATTTGGTTTTCCAGGAAGTCAGAAAAGCTCTGCATAGTATATTCTCCCTTATATACCACAGTCTAGGAAAGGAAACAGAAAATCTATTTAATGGCCTTCTCTGGCAAGATGTTCAGGAATGTCTCCATAGGTACATTCAGGGTGGAATTCCTAACAATGTGGGTGAACTGCTGCTACAAGTTTCTATAAGAACAATCCTAACAATTTCTCCATCACAGGGTTGTTATGTAGTGGTTCAAAGGGTAGACTCCGGTGCCAGACTGCAAGGACACCAACCCAGGATTGATCACTTGTTGTTGCTGAGTGCCATCGAGTTGGAACCAACCCACAGCTGACCCTCCACTGGATTTTCAGAAGCAGTTAATCACACGGGAAGAGAACACCCGTCCTTCTCTTGTAGAGCAGCTGATGGATTCATACCATGTACCTTCAAGATTGCAGCTCAGATTCCTACCAGTAGGCCACCAGTGCTTAATGGAATGGTAGTGTTGCTTAACCTCTCTTAGTCTCTGCTTCTTCAACCAGAATATGAGGATACTAATAGTACGTATCTCAGAGCATTGAGATAACGATGAAGTTAGTGAATGTGTGGGCAGAGCACTTAAAGCATAGTGACTAGTCTATGTTTGTGCTATTACTCTAATAATGTCGGTGGTAGTGTTGTTGTTGTTGTTGTTATGTGCCGTTGAGTCGCCTGCAACTCATAGAGACCGTATGCTCAGCAGCCCTAAACCCTGCTCTATCCTGTGCCAATCTTATTGTCTCCCACACACCTACAGTAAAATAATAATTACTCGGGAGCTCTGGTGACCTAGTGGCAAGAAGCTGTACTGCAGTCCCAGAGGTACATGGTTCGAATCCACCAGATGCTCTGCTGGAGAAGGAGGGGCAATCTCTTCCTATACCAGTCAGATCTGATTTGACGGCATACACACAAAAAATAATAAAAATTTTTTAAAATAATACTAATTACTATAATTTCACAATGCATTCGTTACATGATGCACACTTATCCATCCTTGCCTCTTTCAGTCCCCAAGATGAATAAGATACGGTGCTCACTGGTCATCTAAACCCTTTCTGATGACTTAGATCCTTCCTCTCCAGCCTTATTTGCTACAACTCCTCTGCTGGCTATTCTGCATGAGGAGAATGGCATTTCTTTCACAGTGTCTCAGTCCTCTCCCTGCCCTCTTTGGCCATGCTGTCTCTTCTCTACCTGTCATCACAGCCCCTCCTCTAATTCAATTTCAATCTCTACCATCCAAAGCCTCAATGTCGACATGAAGACTTCCGATCGTATCTGCCCTCCAAAATCTGTCCCTCCTCTCAGTGTCAATTGCATTTCAAGATGGAGACATATTCTGGTGACTTCTTGACCTCAGTTAGCCATACCCTTCTTGGGAGCAAGGACCTCTGTTTTCACTTCTTTGAGGGTCCTATTACCACTCCCCCCGCCCAACATTTATAAATGGCATGAACAGCGTGTGTGCCATCAACACTGGTGATAAACAGTCACTATAATTCCAAGGTGTAAAAGACATTATCTCTAGTGAGTATTCTTCCTTTCCTTGTACCCAAATATTCACATGGAAATTCCTCCCACCTTATTCATACTGTTAAGGTTGGGCTTAGCCTCCAGAGGGAACCATGTAAGCCAGGTCTGCAAAAATCAAAATACTGTAAGATTTATTACTGGCCGCAATGGTTGAGTTAGGGATGGGCAACAGACATAAGCAGGACTCAGTTAAAGTAACTCTTTTGATTATGTGAAAGCTACTGGTAAAATACCCTTTGGACTTGAACATGAGTGGATGCAATCGACTGGAGTTGAAAATGAAGTTCCTTTGGTCTAAGGCAGAGCTGGAGAAAAGGAGAAACCAATTCCCTGATGGCAACCTAATGGTTTCAGTTATGAGCATCTCGGGCACCAACTTACTTGTTCAGAGTCCATGGGGAAGAGCCTGAAGAACGGGTACCGGTCCAGGTACATCAGCTGAATATCATTGGCTGTGATGTCGATCTTAGCAATGGTGACCACGGAGTGATTCTGGTACTTTCTGCCCAGCTCATCCCACAGGGGGAAGAGTGCCCTGCATTTTTCAGACCAGGGGGCGTCTGGAAGAGAAGAGTCATTACTCATGCTCACATTCACCAGAGCTCCGAAGTCAAGACCACCGGTATCTCCATCACTGTCAGAGGGGCATCCACTGAAAACAGCCCTTCTGGCAAGCACTGAAATGGGGCCCCTGCCTGAGCACCTGGCACCCATAGTCCCAGCTCAAAAATACAAATCAAACTTATTCATCTTTTCTATAACACAATATATCACTGTTGTTGTTGTTATGTGGCCTCAAGTTGTTTGCGACTCATAGCGACCCTATGTACAACAGCCCTAAACCCTGCTCTATCCTGTGCCAATCGCATTGCCTCTGACACACCCATCCCAATTACCCCAGTCACTGAATCAATCCACCTCATAGAGGGTTTTCCCCTCCTGCGCTGTCCCTCTACCCTACTAAGCATGATGTCCCTCTCCAAGGACCTGTCTCTCCTTACAACATGTCCAAAGTATGTCAGACAAAGGCCCAGAATCCTTGCCTCCAAAGAGTAGCCTGGTTTAACCCTCTCTAGGATGAATCTGTTTGTTTTCTTGGCAGTCCAGGGTACATTCAGTACTCTTCTCCAGCACCACAGCTCAAAGGCGTCAATTCTCCTTCTGTCCTCCCTAGTCATTGTCCAACTCTCTAATGCATAACAAGTGATTGCAAAAGCCATGGCCTGTATCAGGCGGACCTTAGTCTCCAGAGAGACACCCTTGCTCTTGAGTACTTTAGAGAGGTCCCTAACAGCAGACTTTCCCATCGCAATAAGTTTTTTTCTTTCCTGGCTACTGGTGCCAAGAGTGTTGACCGTGGAGCTGAGCAAACTGAAGCTGTGAACAATCTCAATCTCTTCGCCATCCATCCTGATGCTACCGATTGGTCCAGTGGTGAGAATCTTTGTCTTCTTGACATCGAGCCTCAGTCCATACTGAAGGCTGCAGTTCTTGACTCTCTGCAGTAAGTGCATGAGGTCACTACATGCATGTTTTTTATAACAACACCCTCTCTGTTCTAACAATGTGCTCAGTCTTTTCTTTCTGCACTCAGCAGAGTGGGCACAGACTCTGCCTTGAGCCACTGAGGCTCACAAACACAAAACTTTAACTTGCCACATGCCCTCTCACAGCTGGTGATGAAATCATGCTGGTTAATAGGCAATGCTTAGTGGCACAGTCCTTCAAACGGGGCCATTTCTTAGACAGGCCTTTGGTCGCTGTGCCTTTACTCAGGTTTCTGCTGCTCTGCAAAGTCCACTCACTCACTCTTTAATAAGAAGCTCTGGAGGTCTAATAGGTGAGGAGCGGTGCTGCCAATCAGGGCATGTGCATTCGAGCCCTCTGGCTGCTCTGAGGAAGAAAGAGAGGTCATCTCCTCCCATGTGATTTACAGCCTCTGAAAACCCACCAACAGGTCAGCTATGAGTTGGTTTTCACTCAACAGCACCTAACAACAACAATAAATTCACGTAGTAAGAGTTGGAGGTTTTTGTTGGTTGGTCATTTTAAATGGTGTCCTGTTCACTCCTAAGTAAGTTAATAACAAAATGTAACTTAGTTCCTTTCCTTAAAGGCAGAACAGTGAGGCTTCATCTTATATACTCTGTGCATGTCCTCAGGAGGGGCCCTTAGGGAGAGATATCATTCCTGGGAAAGTAGAGAATTATTGAAGGAGAGGAAGACCTCCTTAGGGAAAATACAGTGACTCCAATTGGCTTAAGCACAGAAGAGATTGCAGAAGTGAGGACAGCACAAGAGGGGTCAGAGTTATGATCTATTGGGTAAGGGGTCTCCATGAGGCCTAACAAGTCCCTTTCTACACAGACAGCAACACTTCAGTGAGTGGGGATGTTTTCTGCTAATCTTTAGTGTTTAAATCTTTTCTTTTAACATAGTTTTCCACTCCTACTGAAGAAGAAAAGCAAGAAAAATATTTAGGTGATTCTTTGTGTTCTACTAGAAAGTGTGTGTGTGTGTGTGTGTGTGTGTGACATATTAGTGTTACGCTACTTGCCCAAGGCCATCCTGTTGGTAAGTGAAGGAGGTGAGATTTGCAGCCAAGCTGTTTAGACATGTGACTCTTGACCACACTGTCTTTCGGTTCAGTGGAGGAGAACACACCCCAGAAATAAACCAGAGTGTATGACAGGTACAACTTTCTATGACAGGTACCCCAAAAGGGGACACTGGACTTTTTGAAGACAGCTCCTTCAGCTTTGATTCCAGCCCTGGGACCTGGTCGTTCTGAAGAGTAATCAGGGTCCAGCTCCAGCACGAAATGGAAACCATGCTTTTCCTGCTTCTCCTTCCTCTCAAGCCTTGAACTCATAGTTTCTGGCTCTGGGGGCAGAATGACCTCAAAGTCCCCCTGAACGGAAAATTCAGGTGATCATTCCCATTTATAAACCACAAGCTTCCATTTGCTCTCCATCTTCAGCCACAGTCCATCAACCCCGGGAGCCAGGCAGCCCCTGGAACATAATGGCTGCTGGCCCTGGGAGCCAGTCTGCTTGTCCTGCTGTTCAGAAAATGAGACTGCTCAGGCCTTTGTACCAGAACCAAATGGGCATTCCCTGACTCTGAGTGTCAGGTAACAGAAAATACCACCTCTCCTTGAAAGGCAGCAGGTTGTGCTATTCAGCTGGAAGGACCTTTAGCATAGTTGGAAGGCCCTCTCAGATCAGAAGAGCGGAGGGAGTCTTTATTCCACCTTCCAGTAGTGGTGGATGGAGAAGAGACTGAAACTGTCAACAACTTCTTCTTACATGGGATCCACAATTAACACCCTTGGTACCAGCAGTCAGGGAATCAAGAGACGTACTGTACTGGGAAGGTCTGCAGTTAGGGACCTCTCCAAATTATTGAGGAGTGAGCATGTCAATTTGAGGACTAAGGGGCATCCAATTCAGGCCATCATCTTTCCGGTCACTTGCTATGCATCTGAAAGAAGGACAATGAATAAGGATGACAGAAGAATTGATATCTTTGAGCTGTAGTGTTGGAGAAGAGTGCTGAACATCCCATAGATGGCCAGGAGAACAAACAGATATGTCTTGGAGAGGGTACAGCCAGTGTGCTTTTAGGAAGGACTGTTCCTTGGCGAGGGATACAATGCTTAGAAAGGTAGAGAGGTGGTGACAGGGAGGAAGACCCCCAACCAGGTGGACAGACATGGTGACTGCCACAGAGGGCTCTAGTGTGTCAGGAAGTGTGAGGATGGCACAGGATAGGACGGGGTTCGAGTCTGTTGTTCACAGGGTCGCTGTGGTTTGTACTTGACTCAAAAGCACCTAACAACAACAACAGCAACCACAATAATAATAGTGATATCATCAGAGTTCCCTTTGAACTTACACCCACACACTCAGTATTTATAATTATAAAGTATAATTAACCTCTCTGGGGTCACAAATCTGTATGATACTGAAAGTCATCAGATCTCCCATGGACTGAATTGTGCTGTCAACCCAAATCTCCATGTATCTGGTTGTAATCCTATCTGGGAACAGGCTTTTCTTTGTAATGTTAATGCAGTCATGTCTGTGTAGGTTGTATCTTAAGCCAATCACATGTCAGATATAAAGAAGCCCCTAAGGAGGGAAGGAAGTGGGCACAGAAAGATAATCTATGTCGTGTTTCAAGCTGTACAACAGCTTGTTGCTCTGGAGTCAGACCCAGCTCAGCTGACCCTCCCTCCAATGGCTTTTCAGAGGCTGTAAATCACATTGGAAAAGATGACTCATCTTTCTCCCGTGATGCAGCTGGTGGATTTGAACCACCACCAGAGAAGTTGAGAGAAGAGTTTCTCTGAGTGGACAGAGAAAGCCCTTCCCTAGACCTGGGCACTTCTAGCCTCAAAAACTACGAGAAAATAACTTTCTATTTGCTAATGTCTTCAATTTGTGGCATTTGTTATAGCAGCAGCATGGAAGTAAGACATCTTAATGAGGAGAAAAAAGCCAACTCATGCCTAGCTCCGTGGTAGGACTCAATTAAGGGGAATTTCTCCTGTGGAAATAAACATATGTCTGAAATAACTTCAGTGTCACCCTTCTCTGTCTCAAGATGAGACAGAGGCCCTGACTTTGGGCCCCAAATGGGGGAGAAAACAATGTCCGTACATGAATACCAAAAGTCATCATAAGGATAGGAATCACTCACTCACTATTTGCAGTTGATTCAGAACTGGCTCACAGCTGGCCCTCCAGCAGGTTTTTGGAGGCTGTAAATGCCCACATTTTCCCCAGGGAGCCACTAGTGGCTTGGAAATGCCTGAGAGGCACTGTCTATGGATTAGTAGTGCAATTCCCTATGGACCACACAGTCCGACAATAGCTATCACCAACAGCAACAATAGCTGTCATCCATCAATTGTTTATAAAATGGTTAAGTCCTTTTTGTTGCTAGCTTGAGTCCTCAGCCACATCAGCTCACATAGGTTAAGATGAGACATTTGATAAATCACATCAAGTCAGAAATAGGCGCATTCTGTATAGCAGTAAAGAGCATGGATTTGATAAGGAGTTGTGCTACCAACTCAAAGGCACATAGTCTGACTCCACCAGCCACTCCACTGGAGAAAGATGAGCAATCTCCTCCTACATGATTTACAGTCTCTGAAACCCCACTGCAGGGTCAGCTATTAAGCTGGTTCTGGCTTGATGGCGTATAACAACAATAAACAAATAAAAACAACCTCAAAACCTCCTGGTTTTTTACTGGATTTATGAATCCATCTGGTCTCATAGAATCCTACAGGACAGGGTGAAATGATCCCATAGCGGTTGCAATCTTTACAGAAGATGGCTAATCTTTACCTAGTGGCTAGTCGGTTCACACTGCCAATCTTTCCGTTAGCGGAAAAGTCAGCCACTGCCACCAGGAGTCAGACTGTGTTAAATCCTAGTTCCAGCACATTATCTATGTGATTTGGGGAAAGTTTCTTCACCTTCCTGAGAATTGTATTCAATCATTCACAAAGTGGGAACAGTAATAGTAGCTACTTTTACCAAACAATGTGTTGTAAAGATGAAGTGATATAATACCTCAGCCTGAGATCTAATGTATGGTAGCATTCAATCAATGTTAGCCATCTTACCTGTTATTGTTATAATTACCCACCACCTTGGAGTGTGTGGAAGATATCCAAGGTGTTCCAGTAATGAGAAATGGAAAGCATCACATTATATGAGAGTATCTAGATTCATACTCTTTGGGTGCCTGAAACCCATCTTAAGCATGTTCCTTGGATGGGCTTTGGAAATTTTGTGTCCAAGAACTCTACACTTGAAAAGTCACATTGTGGGAGCACTGCTTACCATCTGAGCCTATAGAAGTACTTACAGAACATCACAAACACAGCCCTTTCCTTGTCAAAGACAACTCTGTTGAAGTTTTCCCCCACAAGCTGCTTAACTGGTCCTCGGTCCCAATGCTTGGGAATCTCCTCACTGGATTGATGTTTCTAGGAACAAATTGAAGATATTGATGAGTTTCCAGAAAAGTTAGGGTTCTCTCCTCTAATAGAAATGACAGAATTTTTTTCCTCTTTCTTATGCAAGACCCTTGGGAGGGAGTTTGAAATGCTAGATCCTGAGTCTGATGACAAGCCTGCGTTGTCCAGGGCAAATTAGGATCAGGGGGATGTCCAGAGCTGCAAAATAGGGTGGGCTCTAGCACTTGAAATGCTTGATTCTTGGGGCTTTTAGTTCACACACTAGCATTTGCAATTCATTAAAAGGGTAGCATCTTTCCTTCTGCTATTTCTTCTGCCTGAAATGTCTTCCCTGCTCTATCTTGAGTTTCCTCCTGCCCAGACTAGGTTAGATCTCACAACCCCAAATTCTTGTACCACTTGGTACTTGTTTTCTTGTATCATGTATTAAAAATCTGTGTTAACACTCCTTTGCCCTCTTCCTTTCCAGCCTGGTCCTGGTGCTAGCGTCCCTGCAAAGGAGGGTGGTGAGAAGAAGGGCCATTCTGCAATCGACGAAGTGGTGACCAGAGAGCACACCATCAACATTCACAAGCGTGTCCACGGAACGGGATTTAAGAAGCGTGCTCCTCGGGCACTCAAGGAGATCCGGAAATTTGCCATGAAGAAGATGGGAACACCAGATGTTCGCATTGACATCAGGCTTAACAAAGCTGTCTGCGCCAAAGGAACAAGGAATGTCCCACACCGCATCCGTGTACAGTTGTCCAGAAAACATACTGAGGATGAAGACTCCTCAAACAAGCTGTATATGCTGGTTACCTACGTACCTGTCACCACTTTCAAAAATCTACAGACTGTCAATGTGGGTAAAAACTAATAGCTGATTTTTCAAATAAAGTTATAAAACTGTCCAAAAAAAATCTGTTAATATTTATTTGTCTGGATATTTGATCAGTATCTCTCTTCTTGGCTAGACAATGGAATGTCACTAAGGGTTTTTCTCCCCTCTTTGAGAATTCACCACAAAGGACCCAGTAATCCCAAGTGCCATGAGTTGATTGCAACTCATGGCGACTCGTGTGTGTCCAAGTAGGACTGTGCTCCATCGGCCACCCAGTGGCTGGGGTTTTTTTAGGAGATCCTCAGATCATTTTTCTGAGGTGTCCATGGATTGATCTGAATCTCCAACAATTTGGTTAGAAATCAAGTAGTTAGCTATTTGCACAACCCAGAGACTCCCCTAATAAATGTTTACTGATTAAGTGAATGAAAGAATAAAGCAAGCCTTTGCTTTTCCTTGAAGAAGGTGACAAAAATCTCAGGCCATCTCATGGTTTTCTCTACAACTATTGTCTCCAGAATGTTTCTAGAATCCCACCCTTCTTTCCATCCACATTTCCACCACCCTGGTGTAAGCAGCGTCCTCTCTCATCTGGACCACTCCAATGGCCTCCTAAATGCTCCTTCGCCTCTCCACACCTGCGTGTTCCCACATTGCAGCTCTGGCCTCCCATTGCTCTTAGGATATCAAATCCTTAAAGTCTTCAAGATTCTCATGTTTTCTAGTCTTTGCCCAACTCGCCAGTATTTTCTCCCACAATGCCTTTCCCCACCCTGTTCCAGGTTCTGGAAAGGTCTCAAAACACGTTCGTGCTGTGAGCATGCTTTGAAATTGACCGAACATGGGATCAAGATGCATTGGTAATTACTGATGATTGAAATGTAAACATTGGAAACAAAGAAATTATAGGTGAAAAATTGAAATGTAAACATTGGAAACAAAGAAATTATAGGTGAAAAATAGGGGAAATATAGGTGAAATTATAGGTGAAAAATATGGATGATAGAAACAGCAGAGATCTCAAGCCAAAATATTGCAAGACTAATCATGATAAAAGAAGAGGAGATTGATATTGTTAGCAATTTCAGCTTGCTCAGGTCCACAATCAACACTCTTGGCACGAGCAGTCAGGAAAGCAAAAGACAAGTTGCACTGCTGTCAGGGACCTCTCCAGAGTGCTGAAGGGCAAGGATGCCAGTCTGGAGACTCAGATACATGTACTCCAGGCCAGGATCTTCACAATTACTCATTATGCATCAGAGAGCTGGACAATGACTAAGGATGACAGAAGAACAATCAACGCCTTTGAGTGGTGGTGTTGGAGAAGAGTACAGAGCACACCATGTACTGCCATGAGAACAAACAGGTCTGTCCTTGAGAGGGTGAAATCCTTGGCAAGGATTTTGAAGCTCCACCTCACATACCTTAGGCATGTTGCATGAAGGGACTGATTCTTGAAGAAGGACATCATGTTTGGAAGGGACAGTGCAGGAGAGGAAGACCCTGGATCAGATGGATTGACACAATGCCTGGGGGAATGGGGGCAGGTGTGCCAGAGACAGTGACACTGGCTCAGGAGAGGGCAGGGTTCCGAGCTATTGTACATAGGGTCACTATGAGTCGCAGGTGACTCAATGGCACGTAACAACAAGGAATGAGTGGCTTACGGCAAGTAACTTTTTTCAACAATATGTTGCTGTTGTTGTTATGTGCCGTCGAGTCGTTTCCGACTCATAGCGACCCTATGCACAACAGCCCTAAACCCTCCTCTATCCTGCGCCAACCGCACTGCCTCTGACACACCCATTCCGATTACCCCAGTCACCGAATCAATCCATCTCATAGAGGGTCTTCCCCTCCTGCATTGTCCCTCAACCCTCCCAAGCATGATGCCCCTCTCCAAGG